GTCATTGTGGCCTCTTGCCCCAACCTTTCAGTAGGCCAGGATTACAGGCACGGGCCAGTGTTCCTGGCCCATTCAGGTTGGTCCGGGACCCAAACCTGGGCCTCTCGTGTGGCCCCAGCACAGCAGTGACCTACTACTTGTGCTATCAAAAGCCCATTCACCCTTTTAAAATGAGTAGTTCAGAGCCAGCAGTTGACATAATGGTTAAGGTGCTGGATTCCCACATGGTTGACCATGGTTCAAGGCCTGAATCCAGGGGCTTGAACTTCACATTGGGCACATATGCATGGGTGCTCAGAATCCTAAGAGGAGAATGGAGGAGAAGGGATTGTGGCATGGCCATCCTCCGGGGCGGGGGGTAGGGGGAGAGTGATTTCTCACTTTCTGTCTCTCCAGTGAGATATTTTTTAAAAATCTCTTTAAAGAACTCAATGAGTTTTGGTATGTTTACAAAATTGAGTGACCAACATAACTTTCTAATTTTGAGCATTTCCATCTATCACTCCAAAAGAAAGCTCATACTCGTTAGCAGCCCCTCTCTGTTCCACCCACCACTTCAGTCTCTGGGAACTGCTCATTTCCCTTTTTTTTTTTTTTTGTCTCTAGGAACTTTCCTCTTCCAGCCATCTCAGGGATTCTATTTCAAGTCTATCCCTGTTACAGCCTGAATCAATTCTTCTTCTGGCTGGATAATATTCTGTTGTGTGATTACATCACATTTTGTTTATCTATCCATCAACTGATGGACATTGAGTTGTTTTCACTTTGGGGCTGTTGTAAATAATGCTGCTATAAACATTCATGTGCAAGCGTTTCTATGAAATGTATGCTTCCCATTCTCTTGTATATATCCCTAAGAATGCTGATCATACGGTAACTCTATACAACTTCTGGGGAAGTGCCAAACTGTTTTCCGCAGTTCTTGTACCATTTTACAGATCTGCCAGCAACACAAGAGAGTTCTGATTTCTCCACTCGACACTTGTTATTTTTGGTAGTATTTATTATAGCCATCCCAGTAAGTGCGAAATGGTATCTCACTGTGGTTCCGACTTGCATTTCCCCGATGACTAATGATGTTGAGCACATTTTTTTTTCATGTGCTTATAGGCCATTTGTGTATTTAGTTTGGGGAAATGTTTATTTACACCTCTTGCCCATTTTAAAAACTGGGTTATTTGTATTTCTCTTGCTGAGTTGTAAGAGTTCCTTATACGTTCTGAATACTAGGTTACCAAACCCTTACCAGTTACTTTTTCTTGCAAACATATTCTCTCATTCTATGGGTTATCTTTTCACCTTCTTGATAGTGTCCTTTGAAGCGCAAAGTTTTTCAATTTTGATGAAGCTCAATTTCTCCATTTAAAAAATTTAGTTGCTTACGCTTTAGGGATTATATCAAAGACACCATTGTCTAATTCAAGGCCACAACAATTTACACCTGTTTCCTTCTAGTTTTAGCTCTTACATTCAGGTTTCTATTCCATTATGCATTAATTTTTGTATATGGTGTGAGGTAAGGGTCCAGCTTCAATTTTTGCATGTAGATGTCCAGTTGTCCTAGCACCATTTATTTAAAAAAATTTTCTCCATTGAATTGTTTTGGCATTCTTGTAAAAAAAAAAAATCAATTGACCTGTGAAGTGACATCCAGGGGGTAAGTTATAGTATGATCCACATAGTCACAACCATGGGAAAGGTGGTGTGACAGAGGGAAGAGGACAAATTCGAAATTTGGAGTCCTACAGACCTGTGTTTCTACTCCAAATACAGTTACTCCAGACAAACGATTTCACTTTATTTGTAAAGAAACTGAAACAGGACCAGTCTGATAGCACAGAGGTTAAGCACTGTGCACTTACACCTGGATCCAACATGGCTGTGGTTCAAATCCTAGTCCTGGTGGCTTGAAAATTACATTTGCCCAAATTCCTGACAGGGTGGAGAAATGGAAGAAAAAAGAACTGAGATATGAACATGCCCCATTGGGGAGTGCTTTTTCTCTCTTTCTCTCTCTCTAGTGAATCCATGTGCCTTCTGGCAATAAAAAAGAAAATAAACTAATACATATGTCACACTGAACAGATTCTTGTAAAAAAATAAAAAAATCATTGTAATGTCCAGGAGCCTCAGTTTCTTCCCACCCTGTTCCCAGATCCAGTAGGAAGTCCACAGTGAATAGGAACAGAGGGAGTAGAAGGACCTTTCTGGTGGGTCAAGGGCATGTGCAATGGCTGAGAGGCTAGGCAGTGCAGGGAGGGTGCTGTGGAGACAGCGAGGGGTCTGTAGGCCAAGGGGTGGTGTCAAGAGGCCTTCTCTCTTGTCCTTTAGTTGGTAAAAACACAAAAGACTCTGGCGCCTGAGTCACAGCTCAAAGGACACCTCCCACACAGCCCTGGGGAGCCCCATGGTGGAGAGGTCAGCATGACAGCCAGGCACCCCTCCCACCACGGGGCAGCCTGCTCAGGCTGCAAGATGCCGTCGGCTCCACCTAAGCCTGAGTCTGGGGCCGGCAGGACAGAGCCTAGAACTCATGGTGGGTGGGAGCCAGTGGGAGCTTTGTGTCTTTGTGTGTAGGTGAGCCAGACATGTAGAAGGCCAGGGGCGAGAAAGCACAAAAGGATGGGGGTGGAAACTAGCATCTGTTGAGCACCTGGGATCACAGAAGGCCCCCTGTGGACTTCATCTCCACCCACAGCCACATGGAGAGACGGGAGTTAGGAGGATCAGCCCCATTTCCTAGACAGAAAACCAAGTCAGGTAGAAGGATACATATGCCCAGGATCTCATGGCCGGCAGAAGAGGGAGTTTGGCTCTGAGCCCTGTGCCATGTGTCCTGAACCACAAAATGCCAGGCGAGCCAAGAAAGAGGAGGGCAGAGCAGAGAGCAGTCTGGCAGAGAGAAGGTTCCACAGAGGAAAACAGAGAGAGGCAGAAACACAAAATAAGAGTGTAGGGAGTGTGAGGCCCTGGCCAGGGTGAGGCCTGGAGCAGGTCCTCTGGGAGTCACTGAGGGTGGGGACGGCCGGAAACCAGCTCGTGGTGCCTGGAGCCAAGAACCATGCTTGGCCTAGGCTGTGGGGAAAAGCTCTCACCTCTAGATACTGGAAACGGGGAAGCTGGCACGGGAGGAGCAGGGGCTGCCTGGGAAGAGGGCAGCAGACTGGACACCCAGGCCTGCCAAGCAGGGACATCATTGGCCCCAGTAACCACTGAGGTTGCTCAGGCTGGCAGTCCCTTGCTCTTGGACGTGCAGAGTGGCAGGCCTGGAGGCTGGAATGAGGGCGCAATGACCAGCTCTTCCTGGAATGCCGGTTGTTCTCAGGACAAACCTCTTAATGTGTCCTGGAAGGAGGATGGCTGTGTTGTTTACTGTCCAAACTGGGACATGTATGAATTAAGGGACACCAGACATAAATGGATGGGCCCCAGCCTCCAAGGCCCTGTGGTCCAGGCCTGGCCTGTTTCTGCTGCAGCCTTCTCCCAGCTTGCTGCTTCCTCTGCAGACACTGGGGCCTTCACGGCACCTGTAGGGCCCCTGCCCCTGCCCCTGCATCATCTCCAGCACCTCTCCATCCGCCTTCCTTATTCCTCCACACCCCCTAAGGTAAGCCTAAGCAAGGCTGGTGCCTTTGTTAGCTTTTCCAAAACTCCAAGTGGTTTTCCTTTATGATGCCACAGTCACAATGATGAAATTATTATTATTATTATTATTATTATTATTTTGCTACAGGGTTCATGTACTCGTGGGAGAGAGACAGAGAGAAACAGAGAGAAAGTGAGAAAGCACCCCCTGGGGGGATGGCCATGACAAAATTCCTTCTTCTCCATTCTCTTCTTGGGCATACGCACACACACAGACCCAGTGTGTTTTCCAAGCTACCGCCTCTAGGACTTGAACTGCACAGTCAGCCATGTGGGATCCAGCTGCCTTGGCCACCACATCACCCACTGGCCCCAAATAAATTCTTGCATGTTTGACTCTTTCAAAGCTAAGAGCAGGTGGGTCACACTGGTCTACGTTGTCTCCTGATTCCCCCAGCCCAAAGGCTCTAACGCATAATGAACTAAACCTCCAGGCACCCTGTACTGCCCCGGAGTTCTGTGCCCACTCTTGCACTTTCTAGTTCTTTCCTATAAAGGACAGAAAGTCCACAAGGGGCTTCTGCAATAGTAGATGCTCAGGAAAGGCTAGTCCCGGGCCAGACCGTGGTGAGGTGGTTAAGGTGACCAAATCTTACATGGCCAACTTTGCACTGGAGTCCCAAACCTCGTGGCTTGAAAAACACACCAGACACATGTGCATGTATTCCCAAAGACCCGAGAGGAGAATGGAGAAGAGGTTGTGGCATGGCCATCCCCCCTGGGAAGATGATTTCTCATTTTCCCTCTCTTTATCTCTGTCCAGGGAGTCTCTGAGATTGCACAGACCCCATAGCAAAACAAAACAAAAACAAAAACAAAGGAAAGCCAACACTAAGGAAAGCAGCCTCCTGGGCACAGTGCGGATTTCTGATTTCTTCAATGGACTGCAGGCCTTCAGGGAGGGCTGCATTCCCTTCCCTTCCCTTCCTCGTCTCCAGCCTAGAGGTGGGCCTGAGTCAGGGGCTCCAGCTGGACTGGAGGAGTGACTGTAACGCTGAAGAGCTCTGTGTGAGTCACGGAGGGCCAGCACTGGGAGGGGCTCTTCGAGTCAGGAGAGGCCATGTAAATGCAGACACAAAACCACATTAGCGTTCCCGCCTTCAGAGATCGTCTTAGCCAGCCAGCCACTTTTTTCTTTTTCTTCAATATTTAAGTGTAGAATTAACTTTACGATAATCACAAAGTTTTGTAACCATCACTACTATCTAGTTCCAGAACATTCTCGCTACTGCACAAAGAAACCCCAGGCCCAATAGCAGTTGTGTCCCCTCTTCTCCTCCCTTAGCTCCTTAACAGCACCAATCCTCTTATTTAAAGCCAAGAAACTGAGACCCAGAGAGTGATGGTGCCTTACTATTATTATTAATAATAACAATAATTCATGACAGAACTGGTGCATGCATGACAGAGAGAAGGAAGGACCTACCACAGGGCTCAATCTCTCTGTGATCCTCCTCCTCCAGTTCTCCAGCTTGCCAGGATCTTGGATGTGCCCACACATGTACCTGGTGAGGTTTAAGGCTGACCTGATCAAGAACTGGAGCTGCAGTCCGCATGTGGCTTCCAGCTCCATCGTCCAGTATGTTACCAACTGTGCCACAGAGGCTGGGCTGAGGGTGGTGCCTTATCTAACATCACATTGCCAAGCAGAGGTAAGGCCACCACAGGAACCCAGGCCTCCTGACACTCAGCCTGCTACTGTCAGGGAGCAGGTCCAAGCTCCCTGGAACCCCTGGGTGTGCTCTGGGGCTTGACACAAAATATGAGGTTAGCAAAGGCCTGCAGAATGGAGCCTACCCAGTAGGGGGTGACCATGCCATCTGTGACTTGTTCTTACTCACCTAGAGCCCGACCTTGCCCAGAATGGAGGTGTGGCCTTCCAGGTGTTGGAGGGAAAGGTGGAGTCATTTCTAACTCATACCTGTTTCCACAGTAGCCAATGTCCTTCCCACCTGGATGCTCTTCCCCCAGATGAGCATACAGGCTCCTCCTTGCATCCTTCCTTGCTCCCACAGCCTTTCTCAGCAGGGCCTGCCCTGCCCACCCTATTAAGAATTGTGGCCAGGCCTTGTCCCTCCCCTCTGGGCCCCATACCTCTCCAGCTGAGGTCTCCTGCACAGCACAAGCAGCATCCACCTGCCCCACTACACCCTCCCTCCCACATCTGGTCTGGTTATCACCCATCTTCTCCCACGACAAAATAGGCTACATGAGGGCAGAGGTTTGTGTGCTTTGTCACCACTCTAACTCAGAGCCTAGAATGGTGCCCGCCACATAGACAGGCTTAATAAACAGTGCTAGGTGAACAAATGAATGAGTGAATGGATGGATGGATGGATGGAGAGATGGAGGGATGAATGGATGAATGTCTAAATGAATGTTTGTATATATGGGTGAGTGGGTGGGTGGATGAAAGGAGGATTGGCTATGACTGCATTTGATCAAAGGAGGGCTAGTACACCTGCTCTCTGGAGGGCAGGCAGAGGTCCAAGGGGGGTCTTCTGGGAATTCAGGGCAGACCATTGGCTCCCTGACCTTGGTCCTATCTGGGGAGCCTGAAGTGAGGTTAAGGTGGGCACAGAAGAGGCAGGGGGCAGATTTCCAGGGCTTGCCACTGTTTTCAGGACCCCAGAATCCAGAGTCTATTTCTGAACCAGCCTTTACTCTTTTTCTGGAATCACTTAGCAGCTTCCACGTTCCTTAGCCAAACTAGAACAAGAAAGAAAAAGAAGCAGTACTATGTTCCCAATGATCTTAGCCCTGGGAGCTCTGGCATGGAAACTGCTATCATGATGTCACAGGCCCTGGTCCCTCTGGGCAGCATTACTGACACCTCCTATGGGAGCTGGGCCCAGGGGCCAACGGTGCTATTTCAGAGCCATGCGAGCACGGCAGGCAGGCAGTGGCTCCTTTGACAGGGCTGGGCCCAGGTACCCTGAGCCAGTCTGAAGCCAGGCCCTAGCAGGAGGGGCATATGTGTGAAGGGGCTAGAAGAGCACCTCGCTCTGTTGTCCAGTGGCCTCAGTGTCCACCCGCATGGGGTCTATAGCAGACCTGAAGGTCGCAGAGTGAGCACTCTGATCTGTGGCTTTCCAGGGTCAGAGGCTCAGGGCGGTGCAGTGCCCTGTCCAAGGCTACTCACACAGCTAGGGAGTGACAGCCTTGGGCTTGACCAGTCCTCTGATTCTGAAGTCTATGGTCTACTTTCAAAGAGAAGACAAGGCTGTTGCCCAAAAGAAGCTGATGGTCTGAGGCTAAACTGCTTGGTCAAGTCCAAGTCTTCATTATACAGTTAAGAAAACCAAGGCTCAGAGAGGGGCAGGGGACTGGTCCAAGGTCACACAGCTGATTGGCAGATCAGGCAGGGCTGGGTACAGTCTCTGGATTCCTGGCAGGGAGCACTTCCTGCTATACCCCAGTTCCATTTGAGGGGAAGCTCTGCTGCTCTGGAAGAGACACCAGGCTTTTCCAGAATCCGGCCTAAGGCTGTCTTTCCAGGATCTGCTGTCAAGGCTCATTCCTCTGGGAACGGCTGCTGGCAAAAGGAAGTAAGATATTGATTATGGCTGGGGCTGGGGGAGTGGATAGGCTTGGGGGAGGGGAAGCGGTAGAGGAGGGATGGGGAAGGACAGGAAGCCTCCCTAAAAGTGAACCAAAGGTGTATTTGTTTTTACTTTTGCTCATCTGAATTTTCCAGTCTTAGTTATATAACTAATTTTTCAGATTAGAAAGGGATGGACCATTTCATTAAGAGTGGTCTGGGAATCAGAGTTGTTTAAGCCCTGACTGGCTGTGTGATCATGAGCTAGTCTCCACCCCTCCCTGGGCCTTCCTTAGAAATGCCAATAAGAGGATTGCCCTGGGAGAGGTCAATGAATCAAAAGGCTCCCTCGCTCTAGAAACACCTCTCTGTCCATTAACTACAGGTATCAGCCTGCCTAAGGAAGGACGCAGCAACCATCCTGGAGCAAGGTGCCCAGGGAGCAGCCACCGTGCCCTGTGCATGTCCAGTGCTATCCAGAGGTCAGGGGTACTGTCGCGACCCCCACGGAAGGCCTCCCTATAGGGAGTGGACACCATCATCAGGCTGCACTGAGGCCTGCATGAACCATCTCTCAACTAGCCCTTCTCGCCCCTCTGTCCAGATGCCAGCCCCACAGGTAACAACTCCTCAAAACCTGGGTCCCAGGAGGGAAGGGACTGGGCAGGGGCCAAGAGCTATCTTGTCAGCTGAGAACGATTACCAGCTGGGTCAGTAGGAAAAGTGGCAGGAGGAGGCATCATCTTGAGTGACAGCCTGCCTGACCTCACCTGCCAGGTGAGGGCCAGACTCCAGGCTAGTCAACCTCCCAGGACCTGCCCCCAGGGAAAGATGTTCATGTGTGTGCAGAGCTGAGCGCAGCCTGGCATAAAATAAGTGTGCAGCGAGACCTGCTCTGCGTAAGTCAGCTGAAGCTTGTTTGGACAGCAGTGAGAGGCACCTTGACCCTGGCCCATCCACCAGCCTGAGGCCAGGTCATGCCAACTCAAAACTGTCTCTGTCACACATGAGCATGGGGGGAGTGCCCGGCTGTCACTGTCTGCTGTGGTGGAATGTTCTGGACTCCGCCTCCTGCCCACCTCTGATTTCCAGGCCTGAGGGAAGAACCATGTCTCCCCTCCTCTGAATTATCACCCACCCCTACTCATCCCTCACCTCCCACCAGCACTGGACCAAACCTCAGAGGCCAGGAATTCAAGGTGGGACTTGGACCCCAGAAGGTCAGGGGTCCTTCTCCAGCGATGCACACCTGAGGGAACTGAGGGACAAAGAGGGGAGGTTGCTCCCTTCCTGTGTATAGCCCCTCCCCAGCCAGTTTGCAACCCAGTGCCTTGGTGACAGGGCTGGAGCTAGGCCCATGCTCTCTCCCAGCCTCACTCCCCTGGGGTCCCCAGAGGCTGCTCAGGAGACTGTGCTTCCTCCCTTCCCTTCTGGTCACCCCTCACCTGGTCTTTGTTCGCTCTGTCCTCTGCCCTCTGTCTGGGGTGATTCTTGCCAAGCAGGGTCAGCCCCTAGGGAGCAGCCAGCTAATGATCTTCAGATGTCCTGGCCAAGCTCAGCCTCGGTGGGCAGATGTCCAGTCATTCTTGTTGATTGCAGACACTCGGCCAGGGTCTGGCACCTGGCTCCTCCTCTCCCACCATGGTCACTTAGCTCCCACAAGGATGCAGCAGTGACCAGCGTTTAGCCCTAAACCCCGCCAGGGCAGCTGTTTGGAAGTGATCTGGCAAGGGGCAGTGAGGCATTTTGATCATGTGGGAACTTACTTCTCCTTCTCTTAAGCCCCCTCTGGGTCTTGAGCTGGCACTTCTCCTGAGGTAGCACACACTCTGGGCTGGACACAAATGTCTCCCTCCCCTCCCGCTCCTCCTCCTCCATATTATAGGGCATCTATGCTTACCAGAGAGACAGAGACAGACAGGGAGGGAAGTGAGAAAGCACCTCACAAGGGAGGTGGCCACTCCACAATCCCTTCTCCACTCTCCTCGGGATTTAGGGGATGCATGCACATGTACCTGGCATGTTTTTCAAGCCACCAGGTCTGGGACTTGAACTGCGCAGTCGTCATGTGGGACCTAGCCGCCCTAACTACCACACCATAGGAGACTTATGACAGGAGGACTGTCCTTCATTACTCTACAGGTGAGAATGTGGAGCTCAGAGAAGTGAGGCAACTTGCCCAATGTCATACAACCCTTCTGTGGCCACACTGGGACTCCAGCCCACCTCTGCTAGGGTCTACACTCTGCCTCACAAGCTGGGATGTTTGCAGCAGACCAGAGTGGTGTACCAGGGTCAGTGCCTTGGCGTGGAGGCCCCATGGCCATGCCAGGGTCAGACCTGAGGCTGCCTTTGCAGCTGACTCGCTGCTTGACCTGGACAAGGCAGTGGAGTTCACGTCCGCCAAGTGGGGAGCATTGTCTCACGTTCAGGTAACGTAATACTCACCACCGTCATCACTGCATTCTCAGTGGTGCCCAGGGAGCATTCCAGGAACCAGCCCCGCTGCTGGGACTTCCTGCTGCTAGCGAGCTTGGATTCCAGCGCTCCTTACATGCCGTGGGACCCAGCTAAGTTCTTTGTCTCTCTCTGCCTCCATGTCCTCATCTGTGAAATGGGGATACTGTTAGCTCCTATCTACAGTTGTTGAAATTACACAGGTTAACGTTTGTAAAGGGTTACAAGGATGCCTGGCACAGGGTACACACCACATCTGGTAGCTCATACAGCACGTGACTTTGTGAGGTGGGCATTGTGACTGTCCTCAAAGTATAGGTGTGGAAACCAAGGTCATGCGGGACAGTGGTTCCCAAA